TTTTAATTCTCAGGCTCTGTTTTTATATGCTGCTGATGGATATTGGATGAATTGCTCATTGTAAATCAATAATACTTCATCTTCTGATTAATGAGGAACTGAAACTGTTTCCAATAAATGTTTAAATGCTTAGCATTTTTTAGAAACCAAGTCTTTTATGAGGAATCCTTTTTTTTTTTTTTTTCCCCTTTAAGCCAGAATGGTATAAAAACATTTAGGCATAACCTTGTGAATTGATGAAGAGAGAATATGGACAAGCATGTATTCTAGCTCTTTGCCTCATAATTTCAGCAGCACAGAACCATGTTATGCAAAGAGAATTGTAACAGTATATAAGATGCACTATCTGGGTGGAAATTAATGCACTTCAGAAGAACAACCTTATTATTAAATAATAGTGCTGTACTATAGCTATGGTTTTATTCCTCTGCTACAGATTGTGTACTGGAAAATATCTGTGGAAACTGCAAGGACGAGAAAAGTTTTTCAAATTTGTCTCTTAGTAGCTTCTGAGCCTGAAAAAAAAAAAAAAAGGCAACTTACGGATTTTTTTTCCCCTAGTTTTGTATTCCAGAATTGTCTCTATGAAGTAATGAAAGATGAGGGTGAGAGATGGACTTAAAGTGAATGAGGCAGAAACAACTGATTTTTATAAAGAGCAAATGTTTTCTCCTCCTGAGGATCTATGTGAAGTGAAATTGTGTGTCAAAAGCAGCAAAGCAATGCAGTGGTCAGCAAACTGCAAACCTTTGCTGTTCATCAAACAAAGAAAAGTAATGAAACGTTCTTAGAATTTCCTCTTTACTGTGTGAGGAATGAAAATAGCCCAAAATAATGTGGTGGGTGAACTGTATACACCAGGCAATAAACTAAACTTCCTGTCTCTAACAAAAGGCTTCTCTTTATAAAGTGCCAGCACTTTTAACTGCAAAACATTGCTATCCAATTCTGCTTAAGCTCTTTAAGAATGTCTTTTGAGAAGTTTGCAATTTGGCATTTAATTTTTTGGATATTTCTTTTAGAAACATAAGCTGCTGATAGATGAAGAGCATAAGCTGTACTGCTTGGAGCCTTGGATTCCAAACATTTTGGAGAGCAAACCATTGTCAACCTTTGATCCATCTTGCAGACCCCCTCCACAACTGCATAGAAATGAATTTATAGATTTTGTTCTTTCACGCATTTTTGTGGGCTGCTTATGGACCTACTCAAGCACTTGCATTCCGTAGTTTGAGCTATATGAGCTTGGAAATTCTTTTCCCCCTTCCTGATGGCACAAACAATTAATGTCTTTCTGTTGATCATGCAGACAATCATGTTTAGCTTCTAGTGGGTTCTAATGTCTCTAGTCAAAAAACCGCCCATGTGACCTCTTCCATCAGTTGCCTATCTGTTGCTTTAATGATAAACTGACCTTTTTTCCTGAAGAAAATCTGAATTTAGTCTCATTTAATAGTCTTCAGCCTGGTAGTTTCTCGCACAACTAAGTTTTTTTAAGATGAGTTTATGAGGGTTCAGCTTCCATGGCTGAAATAGATGGGACATGTCTTGTAGTTTCACTGACCTGTGGGGGAGAGAAGCTGAAAGCCTGTATGTGTTGTGTCTGCAATTGCTGAGGATCAGTTATTTTGTGGTTTTGTTTGTTTGTTTGTTTGTTTGTTTTCCCTCGTGTGGTTTACACTGAAGCTGTGGGTTCTGTGCTGGCTGATGGGCTGAGCTGCAAAGGGGCAGACTGGGGTAGACCTGGGGCTGTGGGCAGGCTGAGATCAACTTGGTCTGGAACTGCAAGGAGCTGGTCTTCAGTGCTTTCTCCAAAGCTTGGGATGCTGGTAGGAGAGGTGCTGGGTTTGGACTGACCCTCTGAGGAGTGTCCCTGACTCCTTAGTGGGATCTGTATGCTCTTCAGAGTGTTCTTGTGAGCATCAGGAGCAGGTCTGCAAGGACCACACACGCAGGCTGGGGAGGTTATGGTGTTGCTGCCTGGCTTTGCTAGTGCAGAGTGCAAGGTGATGCCAGGTAAACAGCCTTGATAGAAATGCTCAACAATTAACGAAGTTTTTGCTTTCTTTAAAGGGAATGTTGGGGTCTTGTTGCAAAAAGATGCAGCAGGTGCCTCCTGAATGCTTAATTTCCAAGCACTCTAGGATAGAAACTGCATTAAAAGGAGCATGCTGCTCTGCTGTGTTGATCTACCTTTCCTATCTTTGCTTCTTTTCCATTATTCTCCCTTTCTATTCCTCTGTAACTGTTGTGAAGAGGGGAAATTTGTCCATCTGAGTCTGTGGTGGACTTAGAGGTGTTAGAACAAGGGATTATCATCATTTTGCAGGAGTCAGGGAAGTCTCAGAGCTCTCCTTTCTATATTAGAATCTAAGCATGAGCGAAGAAACCCAGCAGCAGCTGCCACCCCTTCTAGAGGTAAGAACATGTCAACACGGTGTTTCTGCAAGACACAGCAAATCCCACTGAGTTTGGAGCTGATGGGAAGGGGAGCATTGTCCTGAACTACTAATTCCTCTCTGGTATCCTTGGGCCTGCAAATAGTGATGCCTGTTTGGGCCCTTGTGTCCCAGGCTGCTGATCCTACCCTGAGGGAGGCAAGGCTTGGTGCAAACTGACCCAGGCAATTCTCTAGGTGAGGCAAGGCCTAAATGAGCATCCTGAAGGCTTCTCACCGGCTTGTGAGTTTGGATATTTCATTTGTGTGCTGTCTCCAGCCTCTAAATATGTGTGCTGTGGATGGAGTCACCGGCACTACTTAAGAGTCCCTATTTTGACCTTCCAAATACCTGAGTTAGTCAACATCATAAAATTCCTCTACTCACACACACCAGACCATGTTCAGTTGCAATCTCTTTTTTTAACAGAAAAAAAAAAAAGGAAAAAAGTCTATCCAGCAGCATTCCTGCTTGACCGAAATCTTCAAAGATTGATGTATTTGGCCCAGCAGGGCTTGACATTAATCTGCTGTTGGAATATCTATGGGAAAGGACAGCCAAGCGACTGAAGAGCAGAAGAAATCCTAGTTTGTCTGGCACAGGCTGGCCTGCCACCATAAAAGATGAAAACAGGAGAGAGGGGAGGTAGGAGGAGTCCGCTCAGCTGTTTCAATTTTTCAATTTGCAGTCTGGGCTGACTTCCTTTGGTTATCAGGGAAGCTAAGAAAAGTAAAACAGTGTTGCTACTCTGTGAAACAACCTCTTTAAAACAAGTAAGGTCAACCAATGAATTTATGGACAGCTGTGAGGGGAGTTAAAGTGTGTAATAACGATAAAGAGATAGCATTAATATAGTTTTAAAGTGTTTCATATTTAAATGTGGCTCCAAGTTGGTTGTGTGTAACAGGACAAATATAACTGAGGCGGGGCTGAGAGCAAGAGCTGGATTCCAGCCCACTTTAGAAAGCCAAAATAAACACTCAAACAACTACAATGTTTCACATGGACTTTTGTACTAATTATCTACAGTTTCTGATGCTGGTTTGTAGAAGGGTGGGGGGAAGACACTGATATATCCAGAAAGTTGCTGGAAATACTGTGGGCTTTGTCCTGATCAGCAGTGTAAATCATGTCTGACTCTTTAGAAGTTCAGGATGAGGGCTGCCTGGCCTTTATCCCCAGGCTATATTAGGCTAGACTTGAATTTTTATAAAGTGAAATGCCAGAATTCACTGGGTGGATGCTGAAGTGAGGATCTGGTTGTCTCACTGCGAGTTGCTCTGTGCGGTTCAGAACAAGTCTCTGTGCCTCTGTTTCCCATTTGCTCTTTGGCCTGAGACTGCCACTGCAGTACTATTTATTTATCTGTTTCATCCCTCCCTCTCTGTTACTTAACTTGTCTTTCCCCAACTCTACATATTCTGTTCTTGCATCATGAGCTGTGCCTGTATGTCTGTGCTTGGCTTTCTTGTTTGCCTAGGCTGTAAAATCCTTGGAGCAGATTCCTTTGCCTGCAGCCATTATTTTATCCTTTGTAAGAAACATTATTGCTAATATTTGAGGCAACAATAATCTTATATTACCTTAAATAGAGTTGTTCTTTTTTTTTACCCCACCTACAGAATAATCCCACATTTTCCTGTAGCTGATGACAACGCTAAGGGTTTAGGATTTGCATCTTTGAAGCTTTTACAATGCTTCATGCAGCAGGGCTGTTTTTAGAGTCTCAAGGTGCTACTGTCATACTACTAATAAAATGTTTATAAAACAAAATTATTTAAAATTACTTTCTGTTTGTGGTGTGTTGTCTCCTAAAGAAAACCCCAACAACCCCCACTGCTTCTGCTGGGTTTTTCTGGCAGTAAAAGCTCACTGATGTGTGTTAAGCTCTGTAGAGACACTTTAGTTACTGTACATCAGAATGGCTGTCACATTAGGAGTTAAAAATCTCTATTTCAAGGAAAGAGGGATTTTTATGTTTCTAATATAAATGAGTATGCTTCAGCCTTTTTACCAAATTCAAACTGCATGGAAGGGTATTTTATAATAGACTAAGAAGGCAACATAAAATTAAGTAAAGCTGGGTCTGGTGCCTAAAAATATTTGGCAGAATTCCCTGGAAAGCCACATTTGAACACTTTTAATATATATTACAAGGCAGACAAGAATAATTATCTTCTCTTGAAGTTCCCCAAGTGAGAGAATTGTATTGTAATGCCCTTTGAAAGAAAATAATATAAGTTGCCAAATGATTATGTTGTGGAATTCTTCCCCACTCCCTGTCTCTTTCACCCATCTGATTGTATGCAGAGGGAGGAAGAACATGGTACAAATGGAGCAGCTGTTCTTACATTCCTTTTTAAAACACCAAACTTAGCACCTTTAAGTAGGTGTACCTGTCAATTTACAGAGGAGTCCTTGTAAAAAATAATTGAGGCAAATCTTTTTAAATGACTAAAGCATAGCATTGCTAGAGATGACACAACTTTCTTACAGTTCTGTGTTGTGAATTCTTTGGGAAACTTAAGTAATGTTATTCTCTTTTTTTTTTTATTTGCCTTTTTTTAGCAGCAAAGTCTTAGCAGTGGGAGCTGAGACAAAACAGGATTAAGTGAACCTGCAGCAGCCACTGGGATTTTAAGAGGTAAATGCCCAGCTACCTCAAAATTTAAGTTGTCCCCATTAAGGTAGATAAATGGAAGGATGTATCTTTACATGAGACGGATCTTTCCTAAAACATGTAGATCCTTCTAGAGCCAGTGTAAAGACGCTTACTGACAGGCTTTACAGCTTTTGTTTTCTTTCCAGTCTTCCTGTGCCTGGCAAGAGTTAGAAAAAAATTACAGTTGTACCAGCTTCCTATGGAGTTTATCTTTTCCATCATATAGACTGATGATGAGCAGAGTAAAGGTAGCCAGAATTAAAAAAATAAAACAAAACCAAAGAAAACCTAAAATGTGACTCTTGGAAACTGATTAGAGTCAGATTTCACAGTTACTTTTGGTGTGTTTGGGATCTATGGTGAATAAAGAAAATCTGAGTCCTGATACTGAATTCCTTGCGGGAAAGAGAGGCATGGGCTCACAAAATGAGCATGGGGCTACAGGGGCTGAAGGAGAGGCCAAATTCTCTGCTGTTGTAGGCTGGAGTTGCTGTTACTTGGATAAGAAAAGTTCCTTCTGATTTAGGCCAGCCAAGAAAGGTCCTGTAGGGTCTTGAGAGAGCTGCAGATATGTGATCCTGCAAGTGAAGAGAGAAAACTAGGGATATACAGAGGGGCAGTGAGAGATGTTTTGGCAGCAGGATTTAAAGTTAGAAACAGTGGGAGGCAAATCTGTGATGGGAGCACTGAGGCTGAGCAATCCTACCCTGGGAAATCTGTCTGACTGCAGGGCCGCAAGCTGCTTTCTTAATTATATATTTTTTCAGACCAGAGGATGTGAAATTAGACTGCCTCATTTTCAAGGGGGAGGAGGGAAAGCTGAAGAATAATAGCATCCATTCGATCTACTGGAGTCTTTCATATGAAATTTATGTGCACATGGTTTGTGTCCATCTATTTCAATGAAGACCACTCAATTAATTGGGTGCTCAGGAGAGGTACTTTAGATCTCCTGGGAAAGGTTGGATGAGTGTCCTTGTGCCTGGCATGTTGCACAGAGATAGGGTACTTGGGAAACATCTGTAAAATTTTAAAAATGTTCTAATTTAATTTGGAGGGGACCAGCAAAAATGTGGTCTGATTTTATGGGTTACAAATCGATCCTTGGAATGATTCTCTGCCACAGTCAAACGTGGTGCTGTGAGTGTGTAACTTCATCTCCCTCTGGCACTGGTGACGGTATTCCTGGACCAGAATGGAGCTCAGCCTGAGCACCGTACATTTCCACCATGCCAAATCCTTTCCTCCACCTACAAAGCTCTGCTCCCAACTTTTATTGGCCTCAGGAACCTGGATTCTTCAGTCAGCTGAGAGAGCAGCAGCTCAGCTGCCTTGGCGGTGCCGCTGCGTCGGCTATTGCACATTTCTCAAGTCCATTTTTTTTAATGTAGCAGATCAGAGCTTGCAAAACAGGACGTCTTGGAACTCAAACTAGATGAAAACAAGCTACAATGAAAGTGAAAAAAACATATCATTTTACTACCAATTGAAAATTAGGACCAGATGAAGTCTCTGAAGCCCTGGGCATTTAATTTAGTGGAGTCGGTCACTCCTGTGTGAAACCAGCACTGGGCTGTGTTCTCTGCACATAAGTAATATCTTTGTTTGTTTGTATTTGACATAATTGGTTGAAGAAAATAATGAAATGGATTGCTTTGGTTTTCTTGTTTGCATAAACTTTACATACAAGTGATTTACTTTGCAAGCCACTCTGATAGGATGTCTGTAATTTACATGGCTTAGAAATTCTGCAGAACAAAGCTATCAGAAAGGGTGCTGCTCTGGATCTGGAGGAGCTTTCTGAATAAACAGGTTAATACAGCTTGGCAAAGGCTGGGGTTCTGTTGTTGTTGTCCTCCCTCCATTTACATGCATATGAGTTTTTATCAGTCACAGCCAGAAAAAGAAGTTGCTTTGCAATCTCACCTACTTGTCCTGTTTCTGTGAAGTAAACACACCTTTTCCTGGGGACTCCTCCCCCAAGACTTTCATTGTGTGGGACACAGTGGCCCTCTCTGTTTGTGGTCATGTATGCATAAATATCTCTGAGTTTATTCTGTTGTCAGGCTAGAAGATGGCAGGGACTTCACACAGCCAAATATCAGTGTTTGAACATTCATTTTGGCTTGAATTTGTTGTCCAGGTATCAAACTGAGCTATTTCTTTTTGTACTGTTTGTTTTCAGATTTGTTTCTGCCTGGAAGATTTGGCTTATGGTCTGGATGCCAATAATTTAAGAGAGTCAATCATGGTCACAAATCAGGTAAAAAGGTAAATCATCCCTCCAGACTTGCATTTATTTGTAGTATTTTATATGGAATGTGTTTTGAACCAAGCTTTTGGTGGTGGTCTTTTTGAGAAGTTAGGGTCACAAGCCATTTTAAAAACATACCTTCAACAGCCTTCATGAGGATTTTATACACTTAGAGATAAATAAACAAACAAAAAACCCTTATAGATCTAACGAGTAATAAGAAATGGAAGCACAGGTATCCATACAGGAAGCGTGACTTTCATACTTCCATACATGGGTAATATGAACTTTAAAAATAAAATCATCTTTTACAAAATGAATATTTTTTAACCCTTACTACATATATTTCAGTAAAAATATTGATTCAGAAGGGCTGATGAGCTCTATTGCATAAAGTAATAAAGTAATTTTGCTTTGTTTAGTGTAACTAATAGCAAAAGCCTGCATTTGCTTGGATTTATTGAAAGAGTATCTTGAAATAGGAAGTCAGGAGGATACAACTGCAATGAAACAATTCAAGTTTTTGTTATTAAACACTGTCAGAATGGGTACTTCCCACCCTGAGAGAGGAAAGCTTTTTGTTCCAGAGAGATATTTCTTCTTAAGGTGCTTGATGAGATTTAACAGGAAATGTTCATCTTATCCTGGTGTATTGCCAGGTTTTTTGCCAGCTTGGTTACAATAAAGAGCTGTGGTGGGATTCCTCAGCCTTGGGAACTGGATGCTGGTCAAGCTTTTAGCACTGAGGAGCTTGCATTTATATAAAGATGTTAATAGAGCAAAAATAAAGGGTATGTATGATATTTAGGAGAGCTCATGGGAGAGATCCTCTCTACCACCGAAGAAACACAAGACAAATGTTTTCTCAGTCTCAGGGCAGTTACTGAGAGCCCCATGAGCCCTGCCCATGGACACATTCTACACATGGCCATAAGGTGTTTGTGCCTGCACTGGGCTAACCAGAACCTGACCAGCTATAATTGTGTGTGCAACAGGCTGGGAACGAGTTCAGAGGCTCTGTGGAGCTCTCCAAATGTGCAGGCAGGTGTCCATGTGCACCCCATGGCACCTGGGAAGGCTGGAGCTGTTCTCCAGAGCAAAAGGAGAAGGAAAAGGGTGATGCCCACCTGTGGTGTCCAGGCTGGAGAGGTGCAGTGAGAGCTCCTCAATCTTCCTGCTGTAATTTGTTCCAAACTGCTCCTGCTCATGCAGAGTGTGAGCAAATGGCACTCACAGGACAAAAATAAGCCCCACTCCGAGTGTTTGTGTGTGCATAACACTTTTAAATGGAAAAGCTTGAGAACTGTTTTCTTTTGACTTTGTTCTGGGTAAGTTTAATGTGGTCCTCTGTAAAGAAAACAAGAGACTGGGAACCCAAATCTCCAGGAGACTCTGGTCTATTAGATAATTTGAAAATCTTTAATGATCACACACATAGATCTGAGAGAGCTGAGGCACACAGCTGTAGTTTCTGAGCACTGGCTGTATTTGCCATCTGTCTCTAAGCAAGCAGATTTTGGCTGGAAGCTCTGCTTCATACAACTGACTGTTACTGATTTTGTTCCTTGTCACCTCTAGACTGGGCTTTCCACAAAGATTAATGGGACATGAGAGAAAGCTCTTTCCTCATCCTGAGAAAGCAGTATAATGCCATGCCAGTTGTGTTACCTTAGATCAAGTTGGTGTTCTAATATTTGGTGTTTCTTTCCTGGGTTGTAACTTCCATTCAGCCTGAAAAGAGGTAACTCTTCTGTTCCATAGAGTTAGAATTGCTCATGTGTCTGTTTTTACCCTAAATCTTTACAAACCTCTCACTGACAAACAGGCATAAAGAGGACCCCGATGTTGTGGGGGCTAACATGGCACTCCTATAATCCCATTAAACTTCCAGGAAAAAAAATTGATTCATCATTGTGAATATCTCCTCAGTCTGTTACTTGCCAGTGGATTAAAGGAATGTCTATTAATTTGGGCAATGGAAGAAACTTTTGGTTTTCACTACAGCCTGTAAAGAGCTTGGACTGAAAGCCTTAGGAGTTCTGTGGTGTCCTACTACACATATGTACTGCACCTTAAGGATTTTTGAGATGGAGATTTTTCTGTCTGTTTTTAGAGAATTCAGTGAGATCATAGATTACTGGGCAGCAATATACCTTCCCTTCTCCTTGGCTGAAGTGTGAACATGGAGTTTGATGCTGAAATATTTTAATTTTTGTTTTCTTGAATTGTACTCTGCCTTCATCATTACTGTGGCATCAGTAGAAAGTCAGAATTTCTCCTTATCTTGCTTTGTGTGGGACTAACTCTTACTTAAGAGGTTGATATTGCCAAACTGCTGCTGGGGAAATCTTGAAGCCATTATTAATTAATCAACTAATAATTTATTTAATTTTGGTTTTTTTTCCAGAATTTGAGTCAATTACATAGGGGAAAATGCATGTGGGGATCTTGTGCTTATTGACAAGTTTTGAACCAGCAGATACTTTTATAAGGAGGGATAGTTACTCTCTGATTCTCCTATGAGTGTAGGTAGTAATCTTTCCTACTGTTAGAGGTTCATTTTCTTAGGCTGCATTGCTGGTAAGTTGGAACAAAAACTTCAGATATTAGTAAAGCCAAAATTCAAGCAGCCTGACATTTAATCTAGGTAAAATGAAAAATTTGTGTTTCAGTGTTCATCTTCTGGCTTCAAACTCTTCATGACTTTAGTGATTTTTTTATTTTTGAAGAAAAAAAATAAAAAATAATTGGATTTTGTGTTTCTGGAGGAAACATCCATTTAGAATGTTTTTCAGAGGAAGAACTAGGTTCTTTTTTATGAACAGAACTTTATTGTTGCCCAAAGACCACCTCTTGGTGAAAACTGTTTTCATAGTTGTTCAGACAGGACTTAAGTGCTGTGACTTGAATTTTACATTTTCAGTTTACACATGTTGCCATTCTTTTCTGACCACAGGAATTGTTCTGTAGTTTGCTTTTCACTTTTATCTCTTTGCTTATGGTGATTATTTCTTATTAAAATGCTCACATCAACAGAGCAATTAATTCTCAGTAATTTCCAAACTGTGTTGACTTTGTTGGTGGTTAATCTGGTGCAGCATCAGTGGATCAAAGCAGTCGGTGCTGAGCCCCTGTAGCTGTGTGTGCTGAAGGGGAGATGTGCTCTGGATTGAATATATCCCAATGCCTGTGGTCCAAAACCTTTGAGAGAAGGTGCCATACTAAACCATGCTGAAGCAAGCCCGGATGTGATCCAGAATCACGAAATCAACTAGGCTGGAAAAGACCTTGGAGGTCATCAAGGCCAGCCTGTGATCTAACACCACCTTATTGTCCATGGGGACAATGGGTGCATTTGCTGCAAAATTGTGCTGTTGCTCTGAACACAAATGCTGGGATGGATGCAATATTCAGTTCTCACAAATGCAGTCTGTGGTATGTAGACCAAAGCCTAGTGGTGGATATCATGTTCTGTGTTCTCTAGAGGCCAGACTATGCTAATCTTGGCTTTACTGGTCTGTGTGTTCTAAAATGATATCCCTCCCTTCTTGTCAGAGACAGGGAGCTCTGTCAAACAGCTGGGCTGTCAGTGGCACTACAGATGTTACCTAAAGATTGGTTGGATGTCTCTGAACTGGAATCCTGGGCCATGTTTCCAGTTAGCTGCCAGACAATCAATCCAGCTCTTTTCCTGCAGTTTTAAAAACCCTCTAATAGTGATTCCCCAAAATGCCACAGTTGCTGGGATTTCCTTGTACAGACACACCAGGTGTCTCCCCTGTGAACCTGCACAGCCAACACTCAAATCTGTTTGTGTCTCCAGTGAGTGTTGAGCAGAGCTCATCATGAGATGTGGTGTTGCTCTCTGTGCCTGTCTCCACCTGTGTGTGGCTGGGGACATTTGGTTCTTGGGCTCTCTCCTGTCACTCAGGGACAAATGTCTTTCTTGTTTGGAGGGGATTTAGGAAATACAAGTTAGCAAGTGTGTCAGTGACTCTTATCCCTCCCATTCTGCCTGTTCTTGTGGTTGACTCTTTAATGTATGTTTAGGGATTAAATCGACCCTCTAGCTACAAAACCTGTTATGGGCTTAAAAAGCTTCCAGACTTGTATTATAAACTTTTAATCTGGATGGTAACGAGGTTCAAACTCGTGTGGTGACTGTCCACAGCTCAGTGTGAAATGAAGACAGATGTGGTCACAGTCCTTGCCTCAAGGCATTTATAGTTTAAAACCAGTGAAGGAGAAGGGTTAGGGTGGCTTGCACAAAAGTAGTGCAAGGAATCATCTGCCCAGTTGCACTTGAATCCTTCATTCTCTGTCTCTGAGCTGCACTGTCTTCATGTTGGCCTATGCTGCTCTCTTTTCTCTAAAATCATCAGAACCAGCCTTTTAAAGTGCTACTTTAGGCTGCCTCCTTTTCTCCCATGTCTTCAGCAGCTGGTGTTGATCAGGAAATTCTCACTGACCATTCTTCCCTGGGATTTTTCAGTGTGGTCCTTACGGAGGACTCTGTTGCCAGCTCTGTCTCCTTGAGCCTAAGGAGGAGGATGTGAGCACTCATTTAGACACTGGTCCTTTCTCTGCTGGATGGTTTCAAGAGCTGCAAGTTGATTTGGACCCTTCTGCACCTGTGAAGACGTGGGCTCCTCTGGGTGACCACCATCCACAGTAGCACTGACCCACAGAAACTCTTCCCCAGCTCTGGGAGTGGAGACTGCCTGCAGTGAGGAGGGGAACGGGGTGGAGTGAGAAATGTGGATTCATGCACTCACCCTGCAACAGCCTTCCTGGGTGGCCTTGAACATATCACTTACATCTTTCCTGCCCCTCCTTTGCTTCCTTGTGCTTCAGTCTCCCACCTGTAAAATCAGGATGGTAAAACTTCCTGCTGCCCTTCCTCTGGCTTAGCCATTCCGGGGGTCAGCTCTCCACAGCTGATGTTCTCTGTGCAGTGCTGCAGCATTGAAATCAGTGAGGCTGTTCTTGGTCATGGGCTAAAGGCTTAAAGATATGC